TGTAGAGTGGTTAAAATTGAGTGAAAATCCCTTGGAATTGCATAGGTGACAATTCGGCCATTTAGGGAATTTTAGGGATTTGATGTTGTTGGTATTGCTTGGATGATGAATCATGTGTTAAATGGTATTTAGATGGGTTGTGTGGTGGTTGGAAGGTTGTAAAACCAATAGAAAAATACTTGGTAGTGTTGAGTGTGTATTTGGACATAGAACAAAATATTAAGCAAAATGACGTTTAAAAGACGTAAAACGAAAAACGACACTTGATATGGCCTTTCGGCAACCTTAGGATGCCTAATAAAATGAGAAAGAAAATTTTGGAAAAATAAAATGCAAATTTTCACTTGGATGGCTGAACCTACAAGGGTGTAGGGGAGGTTTTGACGTTTTTCGTATTCTGATGGAATTGCCGTGTACTGACGAGTCGTACATTGTTGTTGTCGGTTGACGTACATCGAATTGAACCCCGAACCTTGAGTCGGTGGATTTCCCTTGGTCCTGGACCAAGTGGGATTGAGGTAAGTGATTGAATCATGCTTGTATAATTAGTAACTGGTATGTGTTCGTATGAGTTTTGAATAATTGGGAATGTCCTCAATGTAGGCATTCTGTTGAGTAACGAGCTCGGAGAGTATATTGCTGTGGAGCTAAGTGAAGAGGCTTATTAAGGTAACCTCTTGGTACTGGGGCTTGATCCCCTTGTGTGATCCACCATGCCCGTTGAGGGTGATGGTAGGAAGTGTATGTAAGTAATGTAGAATAACATGTTCATGCATTTATTATGTATGTTAGTGGTACACTGGATGTACCGAGTCTCTGGCCAGTAGACAGTTTTTCCTTCGGGCGTTTCGGACTTCCACTGGATAGGTCTCCGTGAGGGAGTTCCAGTTGACCTAGGGTCGTGATGTGTGATCGGATAGGAGCACACTAGGAAGTCTCGGGTGTATGTGGATGGGAGGGGTACCTTGGTTGGATGTTCTTGGAACACACCTTGGATGAGACCCGTAGGCTTATATGCCGAGCCATTAGGCAGGATGTTGCGTGGTATTGGTAGCTACCATTCCAGCTTCGTCGTATTTTGTATCCCTATATCCCCTAGTTTCTCTAAATCTCTTGCTATATCCCGTTTTTAAAGATGTTATTGTATATTATTTATATGCATCGAAGTGAGCCATTGGGCGGAGTTTTCTCCAGAACCACTGGGTTACTGAGATATATTCATATATCTCACCCCGTCTTGGGGGCTTTATTTCAGGAGGTAGGAGCGGCGGGCAAGAAGCTCGTAGGATGAGTGTTGGAGGACATTTTTATATTTTGCATTTTGATGGCCATTGGGCCTAGGCTAGACTTTGGGCATGAACATTCCATATGTATGTAGGAGGAGATTCATAGTCATATTTGTTCATGTCATTTTGCCTAAGTCTAGTTGTATATGTCATTTAAAGTTCACATTTCAAGTTGTAATTTGAGTTATGAAATTGTAAGTTGTAATATGTAATTGAGATATTGTAATTGTACCATGGATACTTGATGTAATAAGATGGAAGAGCTTTAGGCCTATTTTAGGATTATGATTATGTGAATGCTTAGAAAATGCATGTAAATGGACTTTGATGATTGAAACATATTAAGTATTAATCAAGTGAGCAGTATGATATGAATTGTGTAATAACTATAAACTGAGTTGGGTTGTAAGTTCCCCAAGGCATTTTGGTCCTTGTGTGTGCCACCCATTGGTTATTAGGTACATTTGAGGTATTAGAAAGCATTTACAAATTTGGGGATTTTTGTAAAAACAAAGGAAACTCTGGCGAAATTTCTAGAAATTGGCATATTTTAGGTGAACTTCGGGAGAGCATGTCTCCCTCCACAGAGGTCTGATAGGGACGTGCAATATGCCATTTTGAAGCTTAAGATGCCCTCTATATTATGGTAAAATGTGATAGAATTCTGGGTTGAATGTCGGCCTGGAGAAGGCACAGAGTGAAGACTGCCCATTTGCTCACTGCACTTGTGGCAGTTCTGGACCGATTTTAGGAAATTTATTCCCGCTTTGTTTCTTAGTCAAATTAAGTGTATGATATGTCAAATTGAAGATTGAGATTTCTAGTTTGTTTTATAAAAATTTGAGAGGAATTGGTTGATTGTATTGTCTTCAGTAATTCATGGAGTGAGGGATGTTTGGAGTTGTTTTGGGGTTGATTGACAGCTTTGCTTGTCCAACTTCAAACGGCGATATCCAGAGCAAACGAGATCGAAATAACTCGTGTGATAGCTTCCTAGAAATTTAATTGAGTGTAGAATAACATATCAAAATATGGGAGGCTTGTAGTATGCGGTTTGTCCGTAGAAAAATAAAAACCAAATGCTTCAGTTTGGCTTAATTTCTTTGCTTAATTTCTTCTCTTGCTTCTTAGCTCCCCCCTTTTTTCTCAGGTCTTTTGGCTGGAAGTCAACTACCCTTATCTTTGCATAGGGCTGACCTTCAACAGTGTGCTCTTTGAGCGGCTCTTGCTCCTAACTTTTGATGACTTGGGCCCTTTGGGCGCAATTTGGGAACAGAGGAGCTGACCTTTTTTTTTTTTTAAAACCAAACAGGGGTGGAGCAAGTTCTTTAAATAAATTGAAGTCCCTTCCTTTTAGCAACTTCATGAGTCCACTGAATGATAGAGTATCAGATTCTTGAGTGGTGCTTTTGTGCTTGGTGTTGCTCCAAATCAGATAGGTACTCTATGTTGCTTGTCAAAAACTGTGAATTCCTCAAAGCATCTCAAGGAGCAAAAACCTAAACAGCAAGAGCAATTGGGTAAATCAGGATACTCAGGACAGCAAACTTGACAGAAAAAAAAAACATTTTTGGAAAACAAGTAAATCAGGGTGGCGAATCCCTGGTACACCGCAGAGGTTGTTATCTAGGAGCAGTTTGTTCAAACATATTCCACTTCAAACATTCAGGTATTCGTTCAAAAAGATTTAATCGAGTTAAAAGAATAGAGAACGAATGAACCTGAGGTCACCATAGTGACCCTTATTGCTCCCCAGCTCCTTGGTCTGCTCCTCTGTGGGGAGCATTTGTCACTGCTTCTGGAGGCAAGATGTTTGGAAATGGTGGATATTGTGTCTATCCTTTGAATTTTTTGCCCCAGTTACTGGTGAAGACTTGATCACGAGCCTTGAAGTACATCCAGAGTTGAATTTCTTCTTCTTTTTTCTTCATTAACTCATCTTTTAGGAGATTAATTTCTTCCTTCCAGCCAGTTTTGTCTTCTTCATGGGCCTGTTCTCTTTCTTCCATCTTCTTTTTCAGTGAGTCCACTGCTTTTACCAAATCCTTTACCGTCTTTTGTAAGCTTGAAGACCCCTCCCCTTCCTCGAGCTTTCTTTTCTGCGGCAGCGGTTCAGCATTTTTTATCTGGGCCAGTTCTCTCTGCAGGCCTCTCTTTTCTGCTTCAGTGTGCAAGTGGGCTTCTTTCAAAGCTTGTAGCTCCTTTCCAAGTGTATCTTCTATGGCCTGCACCTGAACTGCTAGAAGGTCTGCACCAAGCCTGAACAGAGTTTGACAAATAGTCGTGTCATTTGTTTCAGCCAAGAACTGTCTTCTTACCTTGCTCGCAGTAGCTCTCTTAAAGGGGAGTTTCTCCCTTCTTTGAGTCTTCTAGGGTTCTTCACTTTTCACACTGCCCGAAACCTCCATTCTTTCTTCCTCTTCCTCTTCTCCCTTCTCTTCTTTTTCTTCCTCTTTCTCACTCTCCATTCCTTCGTTTTCCCTGATTCTTCTCAGTGTGGACTGGTCAATGTCCGATCCTTCTGGGATAGTCTCTTCCTCAATCGGACTAGTGGGCTTCAGACCAGCCCTTTTACACATTTCAGTAACGAGACAGGGGAAAAAAATGGAGAGTTCCTTGGTGCATTCGCCACCAATTGTCTGTACACTATTCTTCCAACATCGAACTTTTTCCTGGTCAAGATGCAGAAAACCAGCACTGCTCTTTCCCAGTTTACTCTGGAGTCATTGCTCACAGGAATCAGACGGGAGTTTATAAAATGCATCCATACCTTTGCTTCGAACTTGAGGTACCTCCTAAGGACAAACTCCTTGGTTCCCCAAGTTGCTCCTTCTGAGCCTATTCCCTGAAGCACCTCCCCAGTTATGGCTTCATCTCCTCGGCCAGCACAGTATTTTTCAAACTCGTCCTGATCAGTGGGGACTGAAGCTGTGTTGTATGCTCCATTAATCTCCTCAGGGGAGAAGTCCACCTCTACTCCACTAATAATGAGCTTGGGAAGCTCTTCCTTCCTCACCTCTTTTAAAAATGCAGTTACAAACTCAGTGCGAGCTCTTGTAGGAGGTTCGACGAACAGTTCCTTGTCCAGTGTTGTTATGTCCTCTTCCAGCCATCGTTCGATCTCTCTATGCTTGGAGCTGTTGAGAATGATGCCCTTTTCTGGCATGATTTTACGGTTATTTGCCGTTTGGACAGCTTTGAGCTTTTTCCCTCCTCGAGTTCTCTTGCGAGAAGAGGCAGCAACAGGTATAATGGTTTTCTGGCGCGTCATGGTGTAAAGCTCTGAGTCAGGGAGATGGAGTGAGGAGTAAAGGTTTGGTCTTTGTAGTTTGAAGGGGAATAGAGTGTGAGAAGGGGATGATGGTCCCTGTGTTAACTTATAAGGAAATGAAGGAAGGGATGAGAGGGTGTGGATAAGAAGTGGTGATCGTGGGCTATGATGAGTAGTGGATAGGTGGGGTGTCTGATGTGCTTTAAGGCGTGTGGGAAAAGTAACTATCCTCTCTGCTCTGACGGTTACTCCCTTTTTGAAAATTGCCGTTTCTGTTGATTGGAGGGTTGCGACAGATGCCTACTTCTGTTGATTGGAGGGGTGTGACAGCTGCGACGTGGGTAGTACATCATGGAGCTGTTTCTTTTTTTTTTTTTATGTGTAGCCCATTGCAGACCCTTGGATCAAAGGGGCCAGTAGGAGCAGCCCAACTAAAATTAATTCTAAGTAATGGTTGCTCCTTGTCTTCTATCTTTGGGATCAGGTTGCTCAAGAGCAACCCCAAAAGTAGCCTCCTGCCATGGTTAGCACAATAAACTTTTTTTTTCTTAAACATGAATAACATAAACATAAAAATAAATCTGGGTTGTCTCCCAGTAGCGCTTCGTTTATAGTCCTAGCTCGACTTGTTGCCCCCTTGTTCAAACTTCAACTGGGTCAGTGAGATGAGAAGTCAGCTCCTCATACTCATTGGTCCCCCTGTTGTATTTTTTTAGTCTGTGTCCATTTACTCTGTACGTTGCTCCAGATGTCTCATGAGCAATGGTAAATGCTCCATTGGGGAGTGCTTCAGTGATCTCATAAGGACCTTCCCATCTTGATTTCAGCTTTTCAGGAAACAATTTCAATCTGGATCGATATACCAACACCTTGTCCCCAACTCCTAGTTCCTTCTTGATTAGCTTTTTATCGTGCCACCTTTTCATCTGCTCCTTGTAGAGGTTGGCGTTTTCATATGCCTCGCTCCGGAATTCTTCCAATTCAACCAATTGAAGCAACCTCTCTTCCCCAGCCATTCTGGCGTCCATGTTCAACAAAGTGATCGCCCAGAATGCTTTGTGTTGGAGTTCCAAAGGCAAATGGCAAGCCTTTCCGAATACCAATTTGTAAGGGGAGCAGCCAATAGGTGTTCAGTAAGCTGTTAGATACGCCCATAGGGAGTCATCCAGTTTGTTGGACCAATCCTTTCTACCTGGGTTCACCACCTTTTCCAGGATCCTTTTTATTTCCCTGTTGGACACCTCCACCTGCCCGCTAGTCTGTGGGTGGTAGGGGGTGGCAATTTTGTGCTGCACTCCATATTTCTTCAGAAGCAGTTGGAATTGTCTGTTTACGAAATGTGTACCCTCATCGCTGATGATTGCTCTAGGGGTTCCAAATCGAGTGAAAATATTTTTCTTGATAAACTTCAGCACTATCCTGGCATCATGGGTGGGGGTAGCAATAGCTTCTACCCATTTCGACACATAGTCGACTGCAACAAGTATATACTTGTTCCCAAAAGAAGGTGGAAAAGGTCCCATGAAATCAATGCCCCACACATCAAACAATTCAATCTCCATTATTGGAACAAGGGGCATTTCATGCTTTCTTGTAATATCTCATGTTCTCTGGCACCTGTCGCATTTTTTAACAAAGACATTAGCATCTCTAAACAGGGAAGGCCAGTACATACCTAATTGTAGCACTTTAGCTGCTGTTCTTGCTCCAGCAAAGTGTCCTCCATAAGGGGAATTGTGGCATTGCTCCAGTATTTTCTGTTGCTCTTCTTCAGGGATACATCTTCGAAGTAATTGGTCGGGACACTTTTTGTAGAGCAAAGGTCGTCCCAAAAATACTTCTTGGCTTCATGATGGAATCTCTTTCTCCCTTGGTAGCTTAAGTGGTATGGCTCTATTCCAGCAGCTAGGTAGTTTGCAATATCTGCAAACCAAGGATCATGTTTTTCAGAGATCATTAACAACTGCTCATTAGGGAACGTCTCTTTGATCTGATCTCCTTCTTGTGAGGCCATCCTCTCTAATCGAGATAAGTGGTCAGCCACCTTGTTATCACCTCCTCTCCAGTCCTTGATTTCAAGGTCAAATTCTTGGAGCAACAGTATCCATCTAATCAATCTTGGCTTGGCATCCTTTTTGGCAAAGAGTTGCTTGATTGCTGAATGATCAGTGAATACTGTAACTTTGGAGCATATCAAATATGACTGAAACTTGTTGCATGCAAACACAACTGACAACATCTCCTTCTCCGTCACTGTATAGTGGACCTGCGCCGGAGTAAGAGTTCTACTGGCGTAGTAGACAGTTCTGAAGATTTTGTCTTTTCGTTGCCCAAGTACTGCTCCCAAGCCAATATCGCTGGCGTCACACATCAATTCGAAAGGAAGACTCCAATCTGGGCTTTGAATGATAGGTGCGGACACCAGCCTTGACTTGAGTTCCAAGAAGGTTGTCATGCATTTTTCATCAAAATTGAACTTCCTATCTTGCTCCAGGAGTTCACAGAGTGGCTTTGCAATCTTGAAGAAGTCCTTAATGAAATTCCTGTAAAAACCGGCATGTCCCAAGAAGCTTCTTATCTCTTTCACTGTGGTCGGGGGAGGTAGCTTCTCAATTGCCTCCACCTTGGCTTTATCCACCTCGAGACCTTTGCTTGAGATTTTGTGTCCTAGCATAATGCCTTCTCTTACCATGAAATGGCATTTTTCCCAGTTCAGCACTAAATTGCTTTTGACACATCTTTCCAATACCTGTTCAAGGTTTTTAAGACAAGTAGGAAAAGAGCAGCCAATAACAAAAAAATCATCCATGAAAATCTCTACTGCTTCTCCTACTAAATCAGTGAATAAAGCAAACATGCATCTTTGAAAAGTTGCAGGGGCATTACACAGCCCAAATGGCATTCTTCTGAATGCAAAAGTCCTAAATGGACATGTAAAAGTGGTTTTGTGTTGGTCTTCAGGAGCAACCGAGATTTGGTTGTATCCAGAATACCCATCCAATAAACAAAAGAATTCTTTTCCAGCTAGATGATCCAGCATTTGGTCAATAAAAGGGAGGGGAAAATGATCCTTACGGGTCGCATTATTTAACTTTCTATAGTCTTGACAAATCCTCCACCCAGTTATCTTTTTGGTTGCTATTAATTCATGTTTTTCATTTTCAACTACAGTGATGCCACCCTTTTTTGGAACACATTGCATAGGGGCAACCCATTTGCTATTAGAGATAGGATAGATTATACCTGCATCAAGCCATTTGATGATTTTCTTTCTTACCACCTCTTTCATATTGGGGTTCAGCCTCCTTTGATGCTCCATAGATGAGCTGTCAGGATCTTGGAGCAAAATTTTATGCATGCAGATTGTTGGGCTAATTCCCTTTATATCAGCCATGGTCCAACCGATTGCTCCTCTGTATTCCTTAAGCTTCTGTGTGAGCTGAAGTTCCTGTTCATGGGTTAGTAAAGAAGAAATAATCACAGGGAGAGTGTTTTCTTTATCCAAATAAATATACTTCAGGTGTTCAGGTAAAGGCTTTAACTCCAAGGAAGGCGGTTGCTCTACTGAGGGAAAATTTGGTCTTTGCTCTTGCTCCGATCGGTTCAAGGATTCGAAGATCCTTTCTCTCTTGTCCCCAATATGAATGGAATTAATGGACGCAAGGTATTCCTCCAATTCGTCAAAGTCCTTCATGCCTATTTCTGACTGCAACTGCTCCTGCTGTTCTTCAGTTGAAATGCTAGAGCATTCCTCAGTGCTATCTTCATCAAACTTCATTGCTTTCATGACATTGAACTTCACCTCCTCTCTATTTACACTCATGGATAGTTCGCCTTTTGTGACGTTTATGACAGCATCACCAGTGGCTAGGAATGGTCTGCCCAGAATTATTGGAACTCCTTGGTCTGCTTCAAAATCCAAGATGATGAAGTCAGCTGGTAGAATGAACTTGTCTACTTGGACAAGGACATTCTCAATTTTTCCTTCTAGCTTGGCTATGGATCGGTCTGCAAGCTGAAGAGTGACTGTGGTTGGTCTTGCTGCTCCTATGTCAAGCTGTTTGAAGATAGAAGCTGGCATTAAATTTACACTCGAGCCCAGATCACAAAGTGCTCGACCAAGGTAGTTCTTCCCAACTGTACACGGGATGGTGAATATTCCAGGGTCCTTCAGTTTGGGAGGAATCTTAGTCAGGTATTTGCATGATTCTTCAGTGAGGGCTACAGTCTCAAATTCCT